AGGAAGTTTAAGAAACAATTTGACAATATTTTAATTACGGGAAATAAGGATCCGTGTCTTTCCTCAGAGAACCAGAGTGCCGAACTGTTAACAAAGAAGAAGTTGAAGTAGTTATCGGAAAATTAAAATCTTATAAAGCAGCGGGGACCGATATTTCTAGTGAAGTAGTTAAGGCATGCGGTAAATGTGATTTACCATCAACTACCAACTCATGTCAAGAAATTATTAATACAATTACGTTTTTCTTCTCTTTTATTTCTCTACCCTTCCTTGCCTTTATGGCTAAACGGATTTTCATCCGGACCATAGAAGATGGCGGGGGATAAATGCCTGAGTAAAAGTCCCTCAGCACCGGTAATTGATCTCACAATCTTCGGTTTATCAGGTTGCCTGGCAATGTGAGTTTTACACAATGCGTTAGCAGGCTGGGCAACCCCGCCTCCTACAATTGAGAAGGGACTCGTGGTTCCAAATATACGGTTTTTCACGTTAAAAATTGTTGGGAACGACGGAAAAACGATATTAGTTTATTACTAATACAATTAAAGTTCCATATTTTAACTTTTATTTCTTCTCCCAATGCCAAGGAGCACCGCATGCTCGCCCCGTGCGGCGCTGCTAAACTCGAAGTTGATAAAGTAATCAACGCTCAACACAGTCGACTACTACCTGTCAATTTTAGAGCAGCAGGCGGCACAGAGGACAGTATAAAATCAATAAAGATAAGCCTGAGGAACAATATGAGGGATCCTGTCCCTTTGTTATCTAACTTCTCCAAACACCTAGAAGTTCAAGCCGAACCTAAATCCTCTCTCTCCTCCAATACCTCAATTCCCTGCATTTGTGTATGCTTCTAACACATGCCTTGCCACCAATTGTTCCTCTCTCTTTTATGCAGATGATTTCAAAGTTTACCTTAACTTTTTTCTCAGTAGGCATCTGGATTCAGTAATAAAAATTCAAGTCGAACCAAACTTACTTTTGGTCAAATCCCATTCCTCTGATTTCAACTCCAATTGCCTCCCATGCAGCAACATATAAAGATACTTCTTATCTTGAAAGTCAAACTTTTGAAATACTCCTGGCCTGAATACCGTCTTTACTGATAAATTTTGAAATCCTATTAACTCTTTTACCTGTTAAATATATAATCAGTAAGGCTAAAAGAAGTAGGGGAAATATCAAATATATGAGGAGTATAAGAAAAAAACGAAAGTTTCTTTATGTCTTTTATTTAAAAAAATAATATATACGTAGTTTATCAAAGAATATTATTATCATTATATCAATTCTTATTCCGATTCACAAAAAGGGTCCGAGGACGGATTATAATAACTATCGAGGAATTTCACTCCTTCCGGTATGTTATAAAATTTTCACTTTAATCTTAACTAGTCGAATCACAGAATACACCGAGGAAATTAACGGTGACTACCAATGCGGATTTAGACGGAACTGTTCGACTATTGATCAAATATTTTCTTTTACGGCAAATATTGGAGAAAAGATTAGAGTACAAGGGTGTTGTTCACCAGCTGTAAATCGATTTCAAAAAGGCGTACGATTCTATTGACCACCAGAAACTGTAGAATATTTTAATCGTGCAGGGGATTCCAAAAAAATTAGTAAATCTAGTCAGGATGTGCTTGACGGAAACACTCAATAAAGTTAGAATCAGTAATAATTTATCCGAAAAGTTTGAAGTACGTTCGGGTTTAAAACAGGGTGATTCTCTTTCGCCTGTCCTGCTCAATTTGGCACTAGAACATGCCATTAGGGAGTAATGCGTACCGAAAAGCGGTTGGATCTGGGTGGGACAACACCCGTGCTTGGCTATGCGGATGATCTGGTCCTGCTAAGCGAAGACACGGACACTTTAAAACTAAATACCACAACGTTAATGAAAACCGTTAAAGAACTAAGGTTCGAAATAAACACGTATAAGATAAAATATATGGTTAGCTGCAAAAATGGCGATATCGATATAGAAGGTAATATGTTTGAACAGGTTGAGAAGTTAAGGTATCTAGGGTCTACGATAACTAGAAAAAACGAAATTGAAGAGGAGATTAAGGTTAGGCTGAAGGCAGGAAATGCTTATTATTTTTGTGACAAAACTACTTTGCTTACGCCTCTTGTCCGGAACCTAAAAACTAGAATCTATAAAACCATTATCTTGCCTACAGTTCTTTATGGATAGGAAAAGTGGTCGCTTGATGAGAGCAACATCTTAAGGTTTTTGAAAATAAAGTGTTGCGTAGAATATTCGGATCGAAGAAGGATGAGTTAACCGGAGAGTTCAGACGGTTACAAAACGCCGAATTTCGTGAACTGTATCCGGTTAATATAATTGAGGTGGTTACATCGCGGCGAATCAAATAGACTTGTTTGAAAAATTGTTGGGCTTAATAAAGAAAGAATTCCTAAAAGGTTAATATTTGCTATACCTAATGGTAAACGTCCGAGAGGTAGACCAAAGTGAAGGTGAGAAGATTGCGTTAAAGCAGATCTGAAGGTACTGGGTTTGGATGGTGAACGGTGGAGGGTGGTTTGTAATAAGGGATTAGTGGTATTGGCATCAAACCTTCGGGTTCGCTAAGCCTTTCCTTCTTCTTATCATTATATAATTGTATTCCTTTAAGTTTAACATTGCATCTCTTTAATACTGTAGGTAGTTTATTTATTTATTTTTATTAAGATTGTTTTTTCAAAACATTATAGCCTCATTCAATTTATTTTCTGTAGTTAGACTGGTTTCTGATTATGAAAAAAAGAGTTTGAAAAGTAGGATCGAAGGACTAGATGAAAGGATTGAGGAGAGTAAGTAAGAGCTTGTAAAATAAGCCATTGCACCATCCCATCAGCTGAATATAAAATACTCAATAACAAAAACAAACTGAGAGTTAAACACTAATATTCAATTGTGAGTTCTTTCTAATGTTGCTCCATCACTTGGAAAGTTTTGACACAGAGCTTATACAAGTTTTTTTAAAGATATCATAGAAGATTGATAAGAGCCCCCATATGATTCTAATTCAAGATATCTTCTAGAAAAACCGAATTAAATGGTTTCATAATGATAAATAATGCAAAATTCAAGGTGATTAATAACAAAGCAATGTGCTTGATTGCATAGATCCTATGATAAATGTAAGCTAATCTAATCACAATAATGAAAAAAAAATTAAAGGGGTTCACACCATAGGTTGATAAAATAATAATAGCATAAAGTCAGTGCACTAAATATTAGTAGAAAAAACAGATCTTATTTGCTGAAATTTATGTGTTTAAAAGATATTTAATGCACTACCACATTCCAAATCCAAATGGGAAATACTCCATAACCTATCCCTACCAGAATCCAATAAACTCAGTTCCTTCCCGGTGACTTCAGATGATCTCAATGACCATTTCTTATCCTTCACTCATAGTCCTTTTCCTCCTTCCGATATTAAACATCACAATTTCAATCCTGAAGACTTCTGTTTTTCTTATGTGTTCTGCGATGAATTACTTTCCACTATCCTAAAATCCCACACTAATGATTATGGTCCTGATAATATTCCAGCAAAACTAATAAAATCCTTCAATTCAATGGTTCAAATCCTTCCCAGTACGTATTTGTCCCAGGTCAACCTCCATTTTGATTTCTCCTTTGAAACCTGTAGGCTCCTAGTCACTTCCTTAATATTTCCCCACTTTAACTATTACTGTACGGTATATGGGGCCATCTCTGGGGATCTTCTGGCAAAACTAAAACATTATAAATAAATTTCTTTAAACGAATTATCTTCGGGATCCCAGGGGACATCTCTGTTTCATGTTTTTATACAGGGTTGAAGTGGCTTTATCTTACCTATCGATGTATGTATTTTTTGGCATCCTTTAACTTCCAGTCCTTCATAAATCACTGAGCAACTTCAATTCAAATCTGTTCACATCTACTTTCGACAGATTGTTCAATATCCGATCCTCATTCCTATGGAACTCAATCCCTTCCTAAATTCATCGTTCCAATACCCTACCTATCTTTAAATTCTGCCTGTTTAGCCATTTCTTATCCATCCAATCCAAATAAAATTGTAAATATATATTACGGTAAATATGTGTATATATTATTAGACCATTCTTAATTATTTTTACTTCATGTTTTTCAATTGTTTATTATTAACTAATCAAAGTTAGAAAATAATTTACAATTTTTCTTATTTATTATTATGACTATTTCTTTACTTTGTGTTTTTGTTTATGTATCTCTGGGGCTCCTTGGCCCACATTTCTATCTTCCTGAATTATTGTGAAGGGACTCATTCCAGAATAAATAAAGTATTATTATTATTAAACCTGTACCTGTACCACTACAACTCATGAAGGGTCTTGGGTTCAGTACTATTTAGGGAAAGCACTGTTTCTAGGTCAACGGTTGTGCAAGGAGGTGATGTGAATGAGATCACGATCAACCCCGTTTTCCCCCTTAATCAATTATTTAATTAAGGGTACCCACGTTATAGAGGCTGGGTGTGCCCCAGGAGGGTCTCCCGACCCAGGGTCGCCCCACGGCCAATGAAAAAGATAAATAAATTTTCTGCCATGAGCCAGGGTTCGAACTTGGGACCTTTAGCATTGGAAACTCAGTACCCTACCACTGAGCTACCCCACTCCCTATTATTATTACTATTACCATCATATTAGGTAAGCCATGTTTCTTATTCTTTTTTTTTTAATAAGTTATTGACATAAATGGACTGAGAGTGAAAATTTCTATTTTTTCCAAAGAGTTACAATGAAAGAGAAACATTTGTATTCATTTAGTCTGGAAGAATGCAGGTATTCACCCTGAACCCACCAATGCCAATAATTCAATTTTAAAAAGAATTGACAACATGTTTCATCCCCTGACAATTCGTTCATCAATTGAGAGCAGTTGTTGAAAAATATCATAAGAACTAAAAAAGATAAATAATATAAATTGAAGTATGTATAAAACTTGTATACATTACCTAAAGCTGCTGCTTAATCTTACAGGCCAGTGCAAAATCCAAGCCTAGTAAATCCAAAGAATATAAGAAATTGGAATAAAAAAAGTTTTAAGCTAAGCATATGTTTAAAAATATGGAGAATAACCATTAAATAATAGTAATAATTTAAATTTTTAACAAACATAATATAGATATACTTGTATTAACAACTATTTCCAATTTATGTAAAAACAAAATTAATAACACCATCCAATCAACAAGATCAAATGATGTTAAAGGTGAAATTGCCATAACTTGACAGTTGTATTTATGTGAAGCGGATTCAACACAAATATAACTGTCAAACAGATGAAGTATCCAAATCTTTAAATATTACACCTGTAAAACTTAATTGAAACAAACAAAATTAATAGTAACACGTCAATTACACTGAAACAACAACAACAAAAAGTAATAAGTGAGTAATAATACAATAAGTTATATGAAATATCAGTTTGAAACTGATCAACATAAGTTAAGTCTAATCTTTCAGGCTTATCTCTTTAAATGTTAGTATCAATAGATTAAAACACTAACAATTAAAAGTGCATTCATTTAATACCTCAACAAACTTCTTGCTTTGAGCTGGAGAAAACATTGTAAAAGTGATATATAAATATAATAAAACAGCCTTCCTAAGGATCTTTAACTGCAAAAGTTGAGAAACGGTAATAGAGAAGGGGAACAGAAGAAACAGACATTAGTCAATAAAATATATATTCCAAAAAAGGTATCGTATACATAATTTTTTCATGAACCAAACAGCTTTTAAATTGAACCGTGAGTAGCTAAACAATAGACGTTTCAACAAAGAGAAAACTGCCAAAGAAGTATTTTTTTTCACTAATTATTATTTTTCATGTTTAAACAATTTCTGAATGATGAACGTTAGTATCCGTTATTCGCGCCATCAAAAATCCTTAAAACCATTTATTTTGGCAATTGAAAATTAAAATTTTGTTTAGGATGGATCCTTCCTTTATTTTAAAAATCACAAAAATAGTATAATTTCATGACGACTCCACCAGTCCAATCAGACATTTTTAGAATTTACGAACCCTATGAACTGCATGCAAAGGCCCAAACCCAATCTTTGTAAATAAATTAGAACCAAAGGTATAAAATAAAAACGGTTTAAAAGTTTCTATTTACTTCTACCTGATAAAGGCATAAAATTTAAAAGTTGTTGATATGAGTAGGGAGAGCAGTAATTCAGCTTTATAACGGTTGTAATAACATAGAATTTGGACAAAATCCCGAGAAAATATCTATACTTTAGTAGACTGCAGGATGAAAAAAAAAATGGAGCCCTAAAATTTATACTTTGTTATTTCTATAAAAAATCCTACTTACGAGTTTTAAAAGATGCTAAAAACAAATTTAACTTGCTTTTTCATAACAAAAATTTACTTAGCCTACATTACAGGAAGCGTCTATGATCACGTGTCTTATTGGATATCAAAAAGAAATTGTTGAAATCGGTGACCCACTGACTGTGCTTGTGTACAAAGTATTCAAAATCTCTAACGATTTTTATATTTAATTTCGTTGAGTCTGCTTTTATTTATTAATCTATTTTTTAACTCATTTGTTTATTTTAAGAGGTCAGTAAATTATAAATAAAATTAGATTAGAACAGTAAAACCAGGTAAAAGGCCAAAAAGCAGATGGATAGATGGAATCAAAAAATATGCCATAGAGCTGTATTTTTTTTTATTACCCATACCTCGCCATTTCTTGCTTACGTCGACGTAGTTCTAGATGTCAAACCATATATATTTTGACCGGATTGTGAAGGTCAAGTGGTTCCGTGGACTTGCCACGAAATAATGTAATTCCCAATGATGAGTGGATTAATACTCTTTTGTTATTAATTATTTTTAAAAAAAACTTTTTGTTCTATAAAAATTATAACTAGAAAACTGAACATTTCTCAATGTTTGTCATTATTTTCGGTATATACAATAAATCCCTTATAAGATAACAACCCGTTTGTAGGATGATATTGCTTCTTCAGACGCTCATAGCAGCTAAAGCAGTTTTGACAAAAAAAGGATAATTTATTAGAAATACTCGATGGAATCTCACGCAATGAATTTTCGAGCAACGACATTGGGATTGCATAAAACCTAGCACCTTTCAGAATAGATAACTTTTTGAAGATATTATAGTAATTTCGAAGAAATATGAAGATTAGGATGTAAAAAAACATGAGATACCAACTAGAATAAGAATATCTATCTAATATGTTTTGTCCTAATTCTGCTATCTTAAAAGTAAGGGTTGAAGAGAGGTTTCTGCTGCAAATTTTTGTTGTGCTTTTTATTGCTCCTCCATCGATGATACATAACATTTGTAAGATTGAAAAAGGGTTTACATTGATGAAATTAAGCATAGCATCAACTTAATAGTTTTTTACTAAAAAGAAAGAAAGATAATATCATAAATAAACGCTTTAAATACAGAGCTATAAACAGAAAACTTGTCACTATCATAGTGAAAAAAGATCTTAATAAATGTTTTAGCATAATTTTGGTAGATGTTAGAACTAACAAAAAAAAAAAAACCTTTTCAAAACGCTGATTTCTTGTTTAATACATATACGCTGTATCAGTATTCTGTCAATGAATGGTTGGGGATAGTTGGATATCATATTATCGGACCCATCATATTAGGAGAAAAAAGTATTGAGTATTCGTATTGTTGTAGGTATTTAATGTTTTTGATCACTTAATCTCAGTACCAACCTTAGGGCGGGTCAACCGGGGCAATTGCCATTGCCATTGCAATTGCTCGCTGGGAGCGCCGGCCGAACTTCAGGGGCGCTTACCACTTGTAAAAAGTAAAAAATGTTACAAAACGTATTAATAGAATTAATTTTAGCGTGTCAAGAAAACAACTATATTTGAGAAATGTTGAATGAAATAAAATTAAAATATTACGTAATATAAAAAAGCTTAATAATAATATAATAATAAGGCTTAGCGAACCCGAAGGTTCGATGCCGACACCACCAATCGCTTGTTACACACCTCCCTCCACCGTTCGCCGTCCAAACCCAGTCCCTTCAGATCGGCTTTAATGCAATCTTCCCACCTTCGCTTCGGTCTACCCCTCGGACGCTTACCATTCGGCACAGCAAATATTAACCTTTTAGGAATTCTCTCGTTACTAAGCCCAACAACTTTACAAGCCCATTTGATTCGCCGCGATGAAATTACCTCAATTATATTACCCGGATACAGCTCACGCAATTCGGCGTTGTGTAACCGTCTGAACTCTCCGGTTAACTCATCCTTCTTCGGTCCGAATATTCTACGCAATACTTTATTTTCAAAAACCTTAAGACGCTGCTCATCCCTTAATGTAAGCGGCCAAGTTTCGCATCCATAAAGAACTGTAGGCAAGATAATTGTTTTATAGATTCTAATTTTTAAGTTTCGGGACAAGAGGCGCGAACTAAGTAGTTTTGTCACAGAAAAATAACAAGCATTCCCCGCCTTCAGTCTAACCTTAATCTCTTCTTCAATTTCGTTTTTTCTAGTTATCGTAGAACCTAGATACCTAAATTTATCTACCTGTTCAAACATATTACCATCTATATCGATATCACCAGTAGTATCGCCATTTTTGCAGCTAACCATATATTTTGTTTTATCCACGTTTATTTCGAGTCCTAGTTCTTTACCGGCTTTCATTAACGTTGTCGTATTTAGTTTTATAGTTTCAACGTCTTCGCTTAACAGTACCAGATCATCAGCATAGCCCAGCACGGATGTTGTCCCGCCCAGATCCAACCCTTTCTCGGTTCGCATTACCTCCCTAATGGCATGTTCTAATGCCAAATTGAACAGGACAGGCGAAAGAGAATCCCCCTGTTTTAAGCCCGAACGAACCTCAAATTTTTCGGACAAATTATTACCGATTCTAACTTTATTGAGTGTCTCCGTCAAGCACATCCTGACTAGATTTACTAGTTTTTTTGGAATCCCCTGCTCGATTAGAATATTATACAGTTTCTGGCGGTCAATAGAATCGTAAGCCTTTTTAAAATCTATATACAGCTGGTGAACAATACCGTTATACTCCAATTTTTTCTCTAATATTTGCCGTAAAGAAAATATTTGATCAATTGTCGAACGATTCCGTCTAAATCCGCATTGGTAGTCTCCGATAATTTCCTCGGCGTATTCCGTGATTCGACTGGTTAAGATTGAAGTGAATATTTTATAACATACCGGAAGGAGTGAAATTCCTCGATAGTTATTACAATCCGTCCTCGGACCCTTTTTGTGAATCGGAATAAGAATAGATTCTTTCCATTCTTCAGGTAATTTCTCGTTCACCCAGATCTTTTTAACCAACCGATGTATTTTAGAAACTCCAGCTTCCCCGCATGCCTTAATTAGTTCAGTAGGAATATTATCGATTCCCGCTGCTTTATATGATTTTAATTTTCCGATAGCTACTTCAACTTCCTCTTTACTTGGTCCTTCTATTAACGGTTCAGCACTCTGGTACTCAGAAGGAGGACACAGATCATAATTTCCCGTATTTAAAATATTGTCAAAGTGGTCCTTAAACTTATTCAATATGTCAACCGGATCGGTCAGAATATTGTTATTATCATCCCTAATTCCAGACGTTACGGGCCCTACATATTTACGTGATCTGTTTATACCTTTGTACATGTCTCTTACGTTATTTTCGATTCTATTAGTTTCTATTTCAATTATTTTATTTTTAAGATACTCCCTTTTTTTATTTTTGAGCAATTTTGTCGTTTCGTTCTTTGAGATTCGGAAGTATTCCAGATTGTCTTCGCTAGGATTATTTAGAGCTTTTAATTTAGCGGCTTTTCTTTTTTCACACATGTTTAAGCAATCTTCATCAAACCACGGTTTGTTATTCTTATTTTCCTTTTTTCCTAGACACGAGTTACCGACCGCTTTAATATTATCCCTGATCTCTATCCATAACTTGTCAATATCCTCGTGGTCCTCGTCAGGAAGCTCTAAAGCTTCAAACCTATTCTTAACATCTAGCTCGAATTGGTTTCTAATTGATGGATTTTTTAATTTTTCCAAATTAAAATTCTCAAAATCGAAACGGTTTTCTTTTCTCTTTTTTATATTAAGTTTTTGTCGAAGTTTCGCGATTACTAATTCATGATCCGACCCACATTCTGCTCCGCGATAAGACCGTACATTAATTATACTGCTTTGCCAGCTGTGTTGTATCAAGACATGATCGATTTGATTTCGTGTTTGCGAATCCGGTGATGTCCAAGTATATTTATGAATATCCTTGTGTTTAAACGTCGTACTTTTAATTATCAGGTTTTTCGAGATGGCAAAGTTTATCAGACGGATCCCATTATCATTACTATATTCGTGCAAACTTTCTTTACCAATCGTCGGAATATAAACTTCTTCCCTTCCTACCTTTGCGTTCGCGTCACCTACAATTATTTTCATGTAGTTTCGCGGTAGTTTATCATAAACCCATTCGAGTTTATCGTAAAATTCACTTTTGACTTCATCGTCACTGTCTTCGGTCGGACAATGTATGTTTATTAATGCGATTTTAAACCAACGTCCCTGAAATGTAGCTACCGAAATTCTATCACTAAAGAATTGTACGTCCCTCAAAGCGGATAGTAATCTACTCCTAATTAGAAACCCGGTACCCAAACAATGATTCCCGCTTCCTCCGTACCAAATAGTGTACTTTCCTTCCCTCATCGAGCCCTCCCCTGGCCAGCGAACCTCTTGCAGAGCCACGACATCCAAATTGTACCCATTTACCTCATTCGCGACCGATTTTAGCCCCCCTGCTGTGTTTAAACTCCTTACGTTCCACGTACCAATATTTAAATCCCTATATTTCAACTTGCGCCATGAATCCCCTAAAGCAGTCCCCACCCGGAGACCCGAACGGGGGACTAGTTTACCTCCGGATAATGAGCGTTTTACCTTAGGGAGATCCATGACTTTTTGTGGTGTTTGGTGAACTAAAGATATGTGAGTAGGGCGTTCAATCCTACGTCACACCCTCCAGCAAGTCTGGTGGGTCCCTACCTCCAGCAAGTCTGAAGGTCCCCTCCCTCCAGCAAGTCTGGAGGGCCCCTCTCATTGTTGGTCAGCGAGTCCATCGGACTTAGCCGGGAGGAACTTCCAAGGAATTTCCACCGACCATCCCCACATCCGCCACCCGTGGGACGCTCCCCATACGCGGTAATGAGCCCGCGCGAGGAATATAAAAAATATAAAAAAGCTTAACAATTAAATTTAATTTTTTCAGGAATGGGGGGAGATGACATCATTGCCCGGAGGAGCCGAATGTCTAAGGCCTGCGCTTCCTAATCTCAACATATTTTCGAAATAAAACCAGAAATAAAGTAATTTTTTCGAAGTCCTCAAGGCTTTAACTCCAAAATTCATTTCTATGAATATTTCTGATCACTGTTTTATTTAAAATTAGTTTCCTTTGACTTGACTGCTATAACCACCAGAAGAATCGAGATTTTCCTGATAATTGGTTGCTATCAGCGCTGGAGGGAAATCTAGTGGATGGATGAAGAGTGGGACCCCGTGGATTTTAACAACACGGATGATCTAGATTACAAGGTATCCAGAATTACCGAAGTCATTAGGGATGCCGCGAAAGAATCCCTCCAGCACCGTAAAGCGAGAGAACGACCTGTCCCATGGTGGTCGCCGGCCTTAACCACACTGAAGAGAGACCTCTACAAGGCCCGGCGGTCGTATCAGAGGTGTAGTAACGAAGAGAGGCGGGCTACACTTCGTGAGGAGTACAGGTCTAAGGCTAGGGTATACCGGAATTAAGTGCGCTCACAGAAACGAAGGTCATGAGATGAATTCATCCAGGAAGAGTCAGCGAAGAATCCCTGGGGTATCCCATACAGGGTGGCCCTTGGAAAACTGACCCCACAGCAAGTCATTGCAGCCCTGAAGCAAGGGGGCACTCAGGCAGCCACTGCGGAGGAAACAGCGTAGATGTTTATTAAAGAGACATATCCGAAGAGAGATGATCCATCACAGGATGATAATGATCATACATTTGTGAGAAGAGCCACGGTATACCCGCCTGGGGCGGACCTGTGCCATCATGGGACATTTGGGACCTCCGTAGTGCCGTGGAAAGGGAAAAGACTGGCTGGGCTCCAGGTTTAGATGCAATTGATGCGGCAATACTCAAGAATAGTGTTACCTATCTAGAGAATAGGCTGCTTGCGATTCTCAACGACTGCCTGGATAGGGGATACTTTCCAAGAAGCTGGAAAACTGCTTATGTCAGACTCTTCTACAAAGGAAGAAACAAAGACAAGCAACTTGCCAAATCATACAGGCCCATTTGCCTCCTTCCTATAATGAGCAAGATATTGGAAAACCTGGTGCTCTTGAGCCTTGGCCATTCTTATCAAGATCGAGCCATCCACGGCAATATGGATCCACTAAAGGCAAGGTAACCTCAGATGCTATATAGCGAGCCATGGCGCAGATGAAAGAGCGGAGAGGTATGTTATGCTTCTTCTGTTCGACATATCCTCTGCATTTGACAGGGTGTGGTGGCCGAGCGTTCTCCAGCAATCCCAGAAGTATGAAACTCCCAGTAACCTGTACGAACTAGTGAGAAGCTACCTCCAGGACCGGACATTGAAAATTGGGAGCAGATTCTTTGAAGTAGAAGACACCGTCGAGATGGGCTGCCCGCAAGGATCTGTTCTGGGGACCTGCCTTATGGAAGCTAATCTTTGACGAGTTGCTGGAGAATCTCGAAGAGGAGCGGTTCCCTGCCACGGCCTATGTTGACGATTTGGCCGCCGTGGTGGCTTCAAACAGCATAGCCGGTCTGAAAGTAGAGGCTGAACGATGCGCCAGTTTGGTAGGAAGAAGTGCGAGAGGAAGAAGTTAAAGATGGCTGCAACAAAGACCCAGGCAATTCTCTTGAGGGGTGCGACTGACAGGACACATCATATTATTTTGAGCATAGATAAAGAAAGGATACGTCCAAGTGAGGTTGTCATCTACCTTGGCATTAAAATTGTTCGAAAGTTCAACGTGACTCAGTCGTGTCGGAGGCGCCTTCTGGGGTCTCAGGTACCCAGCTACAATGACTATATACAAAGGAGTAGTTTTGGGTATTCTGAGATATGCGTCCCCAGCCTGCAACCTAAACCTCTCCTACCGACAGAAGAGTAGGGTAGCATCGATGCAGAGATTGGCATTACTTCGGGTTACTAGAGCGTATAGAACGATATCTCATGAGGTAGTGCAAGTACTGGCAGGAGAGACACCTCTAGATCTCCTCCTCCGAGAAGACTATTACCTCTTTAAAATGAAAAGAGAAGGTTCGGCGGATCTACCGGAACATCTAAAGATGAGAATTGAAGAAGACCCAAGAAGATGGAAAAGAATTATCAAGGAGGACACAATTGATCAATAGAACTGGCGACGGATGGCAACTCCGAAGGGAGCTACTCTAAGAAAGTACTTCCCTACGGTCAAGTCACGATTAGATATAAGAAGGGTATTCTGCTACAACCCGTATTGCCTATAAGGCAAGGGAGGGAGAAAAAAAAAAAAAAAAAAAAGGATGCTATTTTATAGAAATTCCATCGTAAATACATAAAATCGCGGCAAAAATTAAGTATAAAGTAGTTTTATTTGAAAACCCTTTAAGATATTTTGTCTTCCTAATGGTTTGAAGTAGGTAGGTACGATTGGCGGTGGTGAACTACGTTTTTAATCGACAATTCTGCTCTTAAATAATGAAAATCTCTACCTGGGGTACCTTGTATGTAAGATATAGTAAAGCATCATATTGACCTGAACGAGGTATATTGGATTATCTGTTTTATGCTAGTTACTTAAAGGTGGAGATATTGTGATATAGATTCATACCTATCCTCTTTGGTTTAACCTTTTATAAAGGTTACTGTAGAATAAACTGAATAGTTTAGATTATTGTCAATATTATTCATGCCATCAGACCGGTATAACATAATGGATGATTATGAGGGAATATCACTCGTTGATGTTTATGACATCGTGACTGATTTTGCTAAAGAACTGAGAGCTATCATGGAAATTTATGGTGCTGAACCTCTTAATAACATTATGAGTAAAGTTATTACCATATTAGAACATCTTGAAGCTCAATCTGTTAAAATTGGAAAGTTAAATTCTCAATTACAAGAAAAGGAATCTATAATTTTAAAGCTTGAAAAAGACAAAGTTGATAAAGCTGCAGATAGACAGCGATTTGATAAGGTATTTTCTTTTATGTATTAATTTAACTGTTTTTTTTTGTTTAGTTTTTCTGCCATTTCTTTTATAAGAAATGGATAAAATATGTTAAGCGAATTAAAGAGTCCTTGGAATGTTTTGATCAGAATCTGATCTTTATGAATATTGCATACGTGTAGGATTCTAGTAAGTAGAATTTTTTTGAAGAATATAAATGTGCTGGAGATAATACTCGTGGTTAATAAGATGCCATATTAAATGATTTGTTAAGATTGGATTAAAGGGTGTGTCCTCACTTATGCACAATGTTAGTATTAGTATTTTATCAAAAAATGTACTGTTCTAATTTGATTGCAACTATCAAGATTAACTAGCCCCGTACTGGTCCTTGTTAGTTGAGGTGGAGGCTTTACTACGCAGCAATCCTTGTCAGTGGAGATGTTAATCATCATATTTATTTCGTACCTTTCCTAATTTATTTCGTATAAGAACTAGGGTCATTTACATCTGGTTACTTTCAACCCACTTGGCTACTTTTGGAATTTTTAAATTTTTTTATTTATTTATTGAATAGTACAACATTCTGTCTCTTGGACAGTGGTTATAGTGAAGTATGATTATATTTACGCTATGTGTAAACAAAATATAAAATAAACAGAAGCAAAATAACAACTAAAAAATCAAAAATCATATACAACAAATATAATAAAATAACTCGAAAATAAGGAAAAAAAAAAACAAGCAAAAAACATATACATACTTATATACACTATTTATAATCAGGCGAGTGAACTCTGAGACTGGCTTGTCCCTCCAACGATAGTGGGAAAAGCAGGACTACTTTTGGAATTGTATCTACTCTGTGATCAATGTTGTCGTGGGTGAGGTAGCCAAATGGGCTAACGCGAGTGCACAGCACCACCGTTGCCCGGCAACCTGATATATGACTTAAATGATTTAAAAATAGTCACGAGTTCGCATCCCAGTGTCTAGGGAGTCTTTTAAATCCCCGCCCACACCTCTGGCCTGGGAAAACCACCTATAGTCTTAACGGGGAGGAAGGGGAGGAACAAAAAAAAGAAAACAAGAGAATCTTGGTCCAGTCATGTTAGTGTGACACTTGTGAACTAATACCTGCTTTTTACTTTCCTACCTATACTAGGTAAGGAAAGTATTGTGATTGGGTCAAATTTCCGAAATGCGGTTTTCAACGGATCTATACGTTTTGAGCCCCCTGAGCCCGAAAATTTTTCCTCATGACTACCACATTGATAGGAACTCACTTCATTCAACCTTCATATTTCTACATATGTGACTAAATCACTTATAGATTAGACCACCCTGGCTGCACTTCCACGCTGGTTCTTGCATCCCTTTCCATAAATCCTTATCCCATTCTCTCATTCCTTCTACTCCAACTGAGGATATTCAAGCAACATCTGTAATAATTTCAACTCGTCCTTTCCATTTAATACTCTCAGCTGTATACTGTGTTGAAAAAACTCCATGAAGGACACCCTGGTATATAGGCTACAAAGTTCTTAGCAAAATCGACTGTTTGGTGGCCTAAAATTAATTCTGAAATAGAGAATTTGATTAAAAATTGTGAGGTTTGTCCGAGAAATCATCCAAGTAAACTAAAAACATTTTTGAACCCTTGGAACATACCAGAAGGACCTTGAGAAAGACTTCATATAGGTTTTACTGGACCATTTGAAGGATTATCCTGGTTTGTACTAATTGTTGTTTATTCTCATTGGCTAGAAATTTTTCCAGTGAAATCAGTTACTGATAGAAAAACTATCGACATATTAGAATCACTATTTGCAAACAAATTGTTTGTGACATTGGAAGCCAATTTAATTCAAAGGAATTCAACAATTTTTTAAGAGACAATGGAGCGAAACAAATATGTACAACACCCTATCATAGTCGATCAAATGGGATGGTGGAATTTAAATTTGAACGTTTAAATGATTCCGAAACGATACTACTTATACAGATAAGCAGGAAAAATTGTGAGTGACACTATTTGCGTACCGAACTACAATACACGCTCAACATGAAAAACGCCGGCAGAACTATTCATTGGCAGATGGTTGCATACGATATTGGATCGTTTAAAACCATCCGTGAGAGATAAGATAAGAAAGCAGGCTGAAACAAAAAATGTACCATGATTGAAAGCTAAAAGAACGCGGTTTCGAAGAAAGCGAGTAAGTTTGGGTAAAGCATAAGGACACAGAAGGATGGCTAAAAGGCACTGTGATTAAAAAAAGGTGCCTCTGAGTGGGAAGCTAGTGCGATACCATGCTGATCACTTAAGGAAGCGATCAGGAAGAAGGGGGAATAATGTAATATGAATTATTATTAAATTTTGATGTAGTTGGAATTAATTTATAAAAACACGTGTTGTTGTACATTGTTGAAAATATATAGTTTAATTTATTTGGAACTTACTCAACCTTTCTTTTTGGTCTGTACACAATCATTACACCCTCCTACATTGATTACAGGACTAGTAAACTGGGAAAAATTTCATAAATTCCTGGAAAATAAATTGAACCTAAATATTCCACTTAAGACAAAACATGCATTGACACAGCCATAGAAGTACTTACTACATCTATAAGTGACAAAATAAACGATAATATATCTACCAATAAATTTAACAACTCCCAACAGACTAATTTGCCCCAGCACATTCATATCTTATTAGTAAGATCGAAGTGGCACAGGACTAGATACCCATCATATAAGACATACTATAACAAATAAACTAACCAACTAAAAGCTGAAAACACAAAATTCAAAATTTACTCAACTTGACAGAAAAGCTTATGGTCTACTGACAAATCGCTATGATCGACCTCAAAAAAGCTCCTTAAATTCAAAGATTTTAACTACCCACTTATTACTGAAACCCAAACCTGGTCCAGATCTGACAAAGAAAAACTCTAATATTTGCTCCGTATCTTTTCAAAACCTCTAATCCACAATGAGATATCCCACTCCAATTGACTCCTCCACATAAAGCTTTTCATCTTTCAGAAATATCCATTATCATTCACAGATTACCTTCCTGCATAGCTCCTGGCCATGACCTAATCACATTCCAGATCCTAAAACTGCTTCCTCAGAAAGCCATACTATTTCTCTCCTATATATATAATGCTGTGCTCTGAACCACATATTTTTTCTGACCCTTGGAAACTATTCATAGCCAAAATGATACCTAAACCCATAAAGCCAACAGAATGCCCATCCTCTTAACGTCTTATCTCTCTTTTACCCATTAAGAGCAAAATCCTGGGAAAAATTATCTTAAAACGCCTCTATCCCATCCTAGACTGTAAACACATAATCCTAGATCACCAATTTAGATTCCGCACATCCCACTCCACTATTCAGAAATGGCATCGTATGTTAGACGTAATCTCCTCTGCATTGGAGCGCGGAATGTACTGCATGGAAGTCTTTCTCGACTTTGAACAGGTATTTGATAGAGTCTGGCATCTGGGATTGATGTAGAAACTCCATTAATTCCTACCACCTACATACTTCCTCATTATCTGTTCCTACCTTACTGAAAGATACTTCAAAGTAAATCATAACAATGCTTATTCATCTCTTTTTTCTCAGTTTGCTGGTGTTCCTCAACTTAGCATCCTAGGTCCTATCCTTTACACAGTTTATACAGCTGACATCCCAACCCATCCTGATACTGTCATCGCCACATATACCAATGACACATGTATCCTATCTGTTAATAACGATCCATCAACTGCATCCCAAACTCTCTAATCGCATATCACAAACCTTGGTGTAAAAGAATGGTATAAAAACTGAAGAATTAAAATAAATTCCAATAAATCCCATCAAATTACCTTTATCCTTTGTCGCAAACCTATGATCTCCTGTCCTACAGTATCCTTTAACAATACCCCACTTATCCCTGTTGAACAAATCCGATATCTACGACTCCATCTGGACAAACGACTGACTTTGAATTCTCATAGCAGACTGAAGCAACTAGAAACTGCCCAACGTTTTTAACTACTGCAGCACTTAGACAAATGGTCTAAACTATTTAGACAAATGGTCATCTATTTACAAAAGACTCATATATATTACTATAATAAGGCCTATTTGGACTTTCGGGATCGAGCTTTGGGGCTCTACTGAACCATCAAATTCCTCTCGTATCCAATCTTTACAATCCAAAATTCTTCATAAAATTCTCAATGCTCCCTACTTTGTCACTAATAAAATCATCCGGAACAACTTTAATGTACCACATGTTTCCGATTTAGTTCAATCCAGATACCTATCCTTCCATAATAAACTTCTGAACAATCGGAACCCGCTTGTTTCTAACCTTGCTTCCTCTTCTATTCCGGATAACCCTCTATGGCGTCTGTAAAGATGGCCTCGGGATCTAGTAATATAAAAATATAATTGGAGTGCTACCAATGGGTAGTTTCTTTTCATGTTGTACATTCCATGTTATTAATTTCATATTTACTTGTTGTATTTATCATTTTACCTAATTCAATAAAGTTGTAAAATTTCAATAAATAAATTTAAAAAAAATTGATTAGATAATTTTTAGATTTATAATTGTGCGAACAAATTATTGTAAACTATCTTCACTATTTATAGCACATTATCTAACTTTGTTTAGGAGCTGGAGCAAATTGAGGAACATTGGAGAGAAGAATCTCGTGAAATGGTTGCAATGATGAATCGTTTACAGGAAGAAAATCGTAAACTAGTGAAATCTCTGGCTGACAAACAGGATTCATCAGTTATTCAGAACTGTAATTTTATAATTCTTACTATTCATTTACTATTTTTTAAATTAAATTTTGTTTGTTGCATTATGGATGAATATTTTCAGAGAATAATCCTTTAAAAAAATAATATTTTACATTTTTATATTGATCTATAATCTTTGGTAAGTAAAAAGGGAATATTAGATTTACTGATTACCTTGGATTAAAGCTTATCAGTAGTTGTTTTGGAAGGGATAAGACAGCTAACAGACTGTACTATCAAATCTATAAGCGTCTTTAAGTGGGATAAATGCGTGCATGAAGAAGTTACCAGGTTAGTTACTTTGAATATTGACGTGGTGGAGAATGAGTCAAAAGTTACAGCAGTACAATAAGAACATTTTGTTGGGCTTGATAAAATCTCTCTTGATAAATAACTTGAAACTTGGCAAAGATTAGCTATTTTTTATTTATTTAGTTTTTTATAAGCTTCCAATGAGAGAAAAACCTACCTTCTGTCAGAAGAAAGTTTGAATAACTTGGATCATGCCAGCATTTTCCATAGTTCACCATATAATTTTTATGATTTTAATGCTGTTGGATTTATTACCTCATGAACTGATGATGACTGGGATGATTGTCTGTCCTTGATGCGCCCAAATTGTATTGTATCGTGGTATAAACTGTAAGAGATAGCAGAAGACCTGGTGAGTGATAACATTTTTAGCAGGTCCTGCTCGTATATACATTTGGAAAAGGCTCAGTTACAGTGTGAAATGAATGTTTTGAGAAACTAGAACAGAACTTGTAATTACATGAAATGAAACTATGTATGACTGAGCAGTCTTACTTGATACGGTCTTAGCAGGTAATAGAAGAGGTTGCTAATGCATAATTCATAAAAGTGTACCTTTAAATGAATTATTGCAAGATCAAGGAATTTGATGCCTAGATTGGTCTTTATGCTCACCAGATCTAAATTACATTGAATTTTTTAGGATTAACTTCTGAGAATGATTTTGGAATCGATCATCTCATCAAAGTTTCTGAATGAATTGTGAGCAGTAGTTTTGGCGGATTACACTCGGTAACATTTATTTCCTGAGAAAAAACATGCTTTATTGTCTTTAAGCAGTAATTAAAAATTGTCCATGAAGATGAAAATGTAATATAATTCCCAAAACATTGAGTAACTTAAAGAGTAATAGTTCACAAAATCTTAAATAATCAGTAATTAATGCTTGTATTAAAAATGAATAAAAAGTAAAGACCATATTAATGGTTTTCAAAAAGTAAAATCCACTCTTATTTTTCTACATAAAAACAAAACAAAAAATTGTAAACCATAATTAGCAAAACTGCGTTCATTTTTCAGCCCATTCTTTCTCCTGGATTGTAATGTGTGGGCTTTATTTTTTATACATTATTTAATAATTTTTAGTTATATTATTTTTATTTATTTTTTCTTCTTTTTAATCACATCCTCTTTCACCAGCGAGCAGTGTGGGATGCATTTTTATCTAGCCGAATCCACAACGCTTGATTCTATGCTAACTGCCATCTCCTTCTCCAGTCCATTTTTCTTGCTTCTTTCTTCATTTTTTTTCCTTTTTCTCCCTTCTTCTATCATGCACTGTCATTATCACCTATATGCCGATGACGTCCAAATTTATCTTTCCTTCAATCTGACGGATTCCTCTGATGCCATCCTAAAACTGCAACAAGACATCAATAGAATATGCGAATGGGTAAATCTTAATAAGCTGACATTAAATTCGAAGAAGACAAAAGCCATCCGGATCGAATCCCCCTCACTCCTCAAATCCATTTCAGCATCTCCTAATCTTCTTCTGAACAACTCACCTATTTCCTTCCATACCACAGTTAAAAACCTTGGCGATACCCTCGATCAAACTCTCTCCTGGAAACCACACATCTCCCAAATTTCCTGCCATACTATATCCACCCTGAAACAGTTTAACCATCTATGTTATCTTCTTCCGTTCAAAACCTGTCAACTTCTGGTCTCCTCTCTTGTTTTCCCGCACTTCGGGTATGGCTGTATGGTGGATTCCCAGGAGAACTCGAAGCTAAACTAAAATGTCTAATGAATTGCTCAATCCGCTTTATTTTCGGGACCTCAAGGGATACGTATATTATCCAGTTTTACACAGAGTTAAAGTGGTTTTATCTGTTCTACCGCTGTCAGTATTTCCTTGCTGCCTTCCTATACCAGGCCATTAGAACTCGGCGACCCGCCTCTATTCTACAGATCCTATAATTCAAACGCTCCTTTCAATCCCGTCCCACTAGATCCCATGCATCCGACCTCTATCCTCCTCCTCACCTAACTGCTGCGTTTGATAAATCCTTTTTAATTCAAGTTGTTTCCCTCTGGAACTTTATACCCTCAGATATTCGACATCCAAAATCAATATCCTCTTTCAAATCTCTCTTCTTCAAACACCTACTCCATTCCCAATCCAATTGATCACGAAATGCACTTAAAAATCTAAGCTGTAAGAATCTCAAAGTACACCCAGATACCTTGATTATTTTGTGATTCATTGATATTTTGTTTACTTAATTTACTTTCTCTGTTTATTTTATATTTATACACGTTTTTATACCTTTTTTACTATCTATAATTTTATTTTATTGCTAATCATCCTGTAAATATTCAATTGTATTTTATGGACACACCAGAATATTAATATATATTCTGTATTTGTAACTTGTTCTAAAGGGGCACTAGTCCCAGAATAATAAAATTATTTTCATTCATTCATTCATTCATATATAGCATTTCCAAGTCAATTTCAACCTTTTCCAAATCAAATTCAACCTTTTCCAAGTCAAATTAAACCTTTTCCATTTCAAATTCAACCTTTTCCAAGTCAAATTCAACCTTTTCCATTTCAAATTCAACTTTCGAATTTTTGTAAATTTTCGATTTTTTTCGAAATTAAGGCCACTTACTATATTATCGAAGGCATAGCTTTTGAAAAATACAAAAAAAAAAAATTGATAACGCGGTTACATATCCTTTTATTTTAACATTTTAGATTTTTTCAGTGTAATATTTCTATGTCATATTCAATTATTTCCAAGTCAAATTCAACCTTTCAACCTTCAACCACTGTGTTTCAGTTTTTTAAGTGTTTTTGATTTTTCCTTCGAATAAAAAACAAAATAAGAAGAATTAATCTATTTTTCAATAAATAAATAAAAATATTTAATCAAAATATATAAAATATGTATTGTCTCATTTTTAATTTAATTTTAGTTATCTTTTTTAATTTTGTGGTCTCCTGTCACAAAATTATTAGATTTCGAACAATTAGCTGAAAAATCTGAATACGGAAGTTTAAATTTATTACCATTTGCTTTTCGGCTTTTTAGTTTGTATTCTGTGGTTAATTTAAGTTTAGCTTCATAATATTTATTTATTTATTCATACTCGAAAGCATATTGATGAAACTTTGTATTGAAAAAATCCAAAATGAAGCCTAATTAATCGAGATGCAGCGGCTTAATCATAAAATGGAGCATAAATATTAGATAAATTTAAATATCAAAGATTAGAAAAATTTCAATACGTCTCGGATAACATATAAGTAGATCCTTATACCGAAAAAGTAAAAAAAAAAACTTTTATAATCCAAAACACAGTGGCATAAACTTGAAATTGGGTCATTTATAAAATGAGGGAAATCTACTGCTCCAGAAACATAAAATTAGACCTTTATACTTGTTAAATTCTAAAAACTTAAATAAGTTGAAACGCAGTGGTGTAATCATAAAATAGAGGTCATTTTCAAAATCTACGGCTCAAGAAACATAAAAGTAGACCTTTAAATTGGATAAATTCGAAAAACTTAAATAAGTCAAAACGCAGCGGCGTAATCATAAAATGGAGGTCATTTTCAAAATCTACAGCTCCGGAAACATAAAAATACACCCTTACAACGAATAAATAAAAAAAACTTAAATAAGTCGAAACGCAGTGGCGTAATCTTAAAATGGAGGTCATTTTCAAAATCTACAGCTCCAGAAACATAAAAATACACCCTCATATGAAAAATATCCGAAAAACTCAAATAAGTCGAAACGCGGTGGCCTAATCTTAAAATGGAGGTCGTTTTCAAAATCTACGGCTCCGGAAACATAAAAGTAGACCTTTATATTGGATAAATTCTAAAAACTTAAATAAATCAAAACACAGTGGCGTAAACATAAAATGGATGTCATTTTCAAAATTTACTGATCGGAAAACATAAAAATACATCCTTATATCGAATAAGTCAAAAAAACTTAAATAATTCGAAACGCAGTCACGTAATCTTAAAAAGGAGGTTATTTCCAAAAACTACTCATACGATAACAGACCCACACATCGAAAAATTAAAGATAATTAAATAAATAAAAAAAGGTTGAATTTGAAATGGAAAAGGTTTAATTTGAAATGGAAAAGGTTGAATTTGACTTGGAAAAAGTTTAATTTGATTTGGAAAAGGTTGAATTTGACTTGGAAAAGGTTGAAATTGACTTGGAAATGCTATATAACATCGTAAGTCAGGAGCGTTAAGTCAGCTTATAATAAACTTAATTAAGGCATTTTATGCCCTTTGGAACTTGAGACATATGCATAAATTAATTATTTATAAATTCACCTTTTACTTTATCCATACCATCTATTCATATCTATCTGCAACATGCTTTCTACCATTCTAGTATATTGTTTTATTTATTCATGATATTTACAACTGTATTAAAAAAAAAAATACTTCTATTAAATGTGCACTCAGAAATATAACATAAAAATGCTTGTTGAGAAACTGCCCACTGGTAATACTCTGATAATAAATTTACATAAGTTCATGAGGCCACCTTCTTTTCAGATGCCTAGGAGGGTTATTAGGGATCGAGGAGGAAGCAAAGTTTGAAAGGAGAGGGTTCGGATGGTTCTGAAGTTTGTTGTGGAAGGTTAAGTATCTGGATTGGGCCAAATCGGAAACTCTAGTAAATTAAAAAAAAAAAAGTTAGGTTTCTAGCAGTAAGTTTTCATTACCAAAGTGGCCTATTTGGTGGATACTTAGCTGTTTTCAAGCCCATCTTGAGATTTAGAAAAAATTAACAATTTTTAAATTAAGCTTTGTTCTTTTGCTGCTTAGTAATTATTAAAACATTAAAACAAGCATTAGACGGGGAGGTATAAAAACAGAGGCATTTCACACACTGAATTGATGCAATTGAGGCCAAAGATGAATTCCTTTTGAGCTTAAATCTACTGTCTTATCCATCAGGACTGTATTTACTTGGGCAAGCCTAGGTATTGGGCTGTAATAAATACTTCTGGAATGAGTACATGTGGGTCTAAATAGTATAAAGGGAAGGTTTGGGTTATTCAACCATTAAATCAACAGTCGGAAATATATAGGATTACAGGATAGTGCTTTAAAATCAGTTATAATGAAATCATATGATAAGGATATTGTAATGAAAGTAAGGATTTTTAGAGTAATGGTAAAAACAGGGATGCTTTAGGTTATTAGCAGAAAGGGGTAAAAAACAAAACAGTATAGTGAAATGAAGCTATTTCATTGAGAGAATCAGTTATAAATATGTCAAATGGTGTAATAGCTTGAAAATGATCAGTTGAATTGAAGAGACTATAGAGTGATAGGAAGTTTCTGATATTTTAACTGTAATGCTTTGATATAATAGGTGGGAGGCTTGTGTTTAGGCTAACTTTTATTTGAATAATCAGCATCCACCACAACCATATTTTGATTAAAGAAAATAAAGTTTAATATGCAACTCTTGAAATAATTGTTTATGTATCAGGTATGGTGATATGGAAGTGAATGGGAGGTTGGTATATTTGTATGATTAGGAAACGTGAAAATGTCTTGTAGCGTTGGATTTCATTTCAATAAATACCGCCTGTTTTTATTTTTTTAATTTATAATATGATCTCCTTGTTTTCTACTCTGGAAGATTGCTTTGATTTAATATATACCGCCTACAAACGGCTAATAGCTATACATTTTTTTACTTCTTTTTATATGGTGATTAAAATTTAGGGTTGTAAATACCATTATTAAACTTTGTTTATATTTCTCAAACACAGTAACTGATTTGAAAGTTAAAAGAGAAATATTCAATATAAATATGCTTATATGTTTAAAGAAAATAAATTAGTTATAATAGTTTTTCGACCATAGTTTTAGTTTATATTAAATAGCCTTTTATTTTTGTTTATGAGGAATAGATTTCTTTTTTTTTTTTTTTTTTTGGATGTCTCAAATAATTATTGGATTGGTTTATCATTTTCCTATTACAGTTTTGAATTGTTTCCAGGTTTCACTGATGTTTATTGCTGAAGAAATTTATGTAGAGTGTTTTTTAACAATGTTGACAAAGTTTAGTGCTTTCATCATGAAATTTTGAATATTACGATATCAGTTATGCTGATTCATATTTAAAGTTCTAATTGCAGTTGTAAGAAGAATATTATGAGGTATTCGGTCTAAAACACTTGATAACTAAATAAATACAGCATAGCTATGTAGAAATGTATCAATATAAAATTCTTCCATTTTGTATAAAAAGGTAAATTTTTATTAGCAGCAAGGTTGGTGGTGGGATTTTTTGGGATGGAAATTAATCATTAAAACATGGCACCTTACAATAAATATTTGTATTTATTGTACCTTCTTGAAGACCTAACTTTGGAAGGTTTCATACATATATTTATGTGTGTTATTATTATTTCTACCGTATTATATTTAGTAATTTTGTGTGAATTAAATTTGCCCTTTCAACTGTCTGATTAATTATTTTTAAAAGATATTTTTATATTTGTTTTAATTTTAGCTCAACCTATTAGTTCGGAAGTGGATGTATCAGCATTGCAAAGATCTAGAGCTTCTATTGACAAACTGCGAGATGAGCTTAAACTTAAAGACAGAGAAATAAACTCAAAACTAGCAGAAATAGAAAGTGTATGTCTTAAACATTGATGTTGTTTACTTTATTGTAGCTTTTTATTAATTATTACATTGTAAGCATGCCATCTTAACTAATATTTACTGATGAATACAACTAATTACATTATGATGACCATTGCTAATGGCTTTTATTGTTTTTTTAACCCTTTTAAAATTTGTTTTTCTCTATCACATACTTTATTTTATTACGAAATCATTTCATTAATCATAATAAAGTTTTAAATAATCTATTTGTAGTCCTCATATCTTTTAAATACTGCAATAGCTATAACTAAAAAAAGTTATTCTTGGCTTTTAATAATAACATTTTATAATAAATATACAACTATATTTTTCATTTTACTCATATTGATGCCCTACATAAAAAAAAAATCAGTTAATTATTATTGAACGTTAGCACTACAAACAAATGGAATAAAAATTGAAAACTACTTAGAAATTGTTGTTCAGTTTTTCTTTAAAGATAGCCTTATGCACCTTTGTAGTCCTATTATTTGCCATACAGCTGTTTAAACCACGAGTTTGATAGATTTATTTAATCATAAAAGGCTTATTTGATTAATGAGCTCATGTTGATTAGAGTGTGCTTCACAATCAACTCCAAACACTATTGACCTCAGCCTGTATCTTTTGTGCCAATATATAATGTGATACCCTATATCTTCCTTACTATGACAGAATCTACAAAGTTGATCCTACCAACTTGAGTTTAAACATGTGACTGTTAAGCTTTCAGGTTCCAGTATATATCACTGTAATTTTTCTTAGTTTCTGTCTACATTATATGGAGTTTTACTTCTTCTTTCACTGGGTATATTTAAGATTAGCTCAGGGTTTAGCTATTTTTTGTTTTTCCAGTATTGTTTATCTTTACATCTCAATCCACCTCATTTCTCATCTATTCAAGTTTAGCTTAGGAGAGGAAATTTGTTTCAGGGTCTTTTCTGCCAACTTGTCAGCTTCTTAGTTGTCTGTTATACGAGAGTGACCTGGTACCCATTCAACGGTTGAATGATAATGATCATTCAGAGAATCATAAGTTATAGAAATATAATTTAACTACTGCATTCCGAAAAAAAAATTGGATGAAATTGCATTTTAACAATTAAAAATTGCAAAAAAAAATTACTTTTATTTTTTTATTGTTGTTTTTAAAAAAAATTTTAGTATTAAATAATTATATTCTGATTTCTAAATTAATTCAATTATGCTTTTTCTTATAAAATGGTGATTTATCTATATATTTTTTAATTTTGAATGCATGTTCTGCTCACAGCTTGCTGATCAAGTTGATAGGCTGACAAATTTAAACAAGGAGTTAAGGAGAAAACAAAGACTAAATCAAGCTCAAATACGAAGCTTTATTGATCAAAAAGCTCAGCTGCAAACCCAACAATATGAACTTAATCGCTTGAGACAATGCTTGAGTATTGCTGAAAAACAAAATAAAGATATAGCAGAACAAACAAAGGTATGTATGATTTCTTAACAATACTTATGGGTTGTTAAATGTATTATATCCATTTTTATTTTAATGTATTTGTGAATAATAGATTCAACATGTTCCTTTAAAAATTTACTATTTTTTTGCTATTCATAATAATTACTAGGTTAATTTTTTTTATAATTTGCTGTAAAAAAAGTTCATTTTACCCTGTTGAATCATCTATATTAAAAAAGTAAGTATCATCATTGCCAAATATTTAAACCATTGTTTAGGCAAATGCCAATAATTTTAAATCGACATGCTAATGAAACTTTTGTAGTGCTTTGAAATAATGAATTAAAGAAAGTAACATAGAATTTATAGTACTATACACTTAATTTTTCAAAGGTTCTGTAATACACAAAAATAATGATATGATAAATCCATTTCTGATATACATCTGATTGACCTGAAAAGAAACCAGCACCCTAGAAAGAAAAAAAAAAAATATTTGAGAAGAAAATCTGCTGTCCAATTATTGAAGCTACCTGGAATCAGAGTACTTCCGCATGGAAAAGGATTAATAAAAAACTGTTTACAGAAACTGCTGAGTCTTTATCTCATGATATAAAGGCAAGGAGTTTAAAATAGGTGGGATAGAGAGCTAGAAGCAATCCGTCTGGAAGCCTTTAAGCCAAAATGCTTGGCAAGAGACCATTTGGGAGGCCAAAAAACCAGATGGATAGATAGAATTAACAAAGAAGCCGCAGAGTTGCATGCAGAAATATTGAAAGAAGTTGTTGAAAGTGGAGAAGGGTGGTTCAGCTGGTCAATTATCTACTAGGTATACAAAGCCAACAACAAAAAATGAATAAAAAAATACATCTCATTTACAAATTAATGTTGTTATAGGAAGGAATTGTTTATATAATAAGAAGTTAAACAAAAATATGATAGTAATAATTAAATAAATATTCATTGATGCTCATTTGCAATTGTTTTTAATAGCTCACCTCCCACACTTGAAACGCAAACTAGCACTCAAGGAGATCCAAGTGCTTTTCTCTCTCAGTGTCACTGAATCACAGTGGAACTTGAGTCAGAGTTCTAAAACAGTAAGCACTCAGAACTTTATTGTAGAAACTATATAATCGACCTCACGGTCATTTCAGCCTGCTTGAATGGTTATAGGAATTAGTGAAACTGGATGAAGATCAAAGCAGAGGATTTGGATGAATAAGGTTTTTCTGATGAAGTTTTGCAAATTTTAATAATGTCTAGGACAGTAGGAGTTATTTTATTATGTTCATGATGTAGGGACTTGTTGGAAACCTAACCTTAGGACATTACTATTGTTCTCAGGAAATGATTGGTAGGATCTAATACATTATATGTTTGAACATTATGCTGTTTTCCATAGGCTTAATCTGGAGATTTAGATAGGATTCAAATAATATTTTTTAATTCGAAGCTTGTTGTCAATGGAGGTGGTGAAGGCTAAAATCCTGTACATTAAACAATATCCCAGTTATTTTATTACACGTAATATAATATAATTATTACTTGTACTGTTTATTAACTTCTTGAGTTATTTTAAAGTAAATGCTAAAAGTAATAAAGTGATTCCTTCTCCAGTCAATAATATCTCCACCATTATTATGTATGTTGAATGTTGATGTGGATGTTTGAAAAGTGATTGCCTTTTTATCTTATGCCACCCAAGGGCCTTCATATTGCCAGAAAAGGTAGGAGATGAGTTGTGATTTTATGATTTTTTCGGTTTTGTTTTAAAGAGAATTATCACAAGTTTAGAGGAAAATAGATGGGAATTAAATGATTGTGATATAAAATTTATCATTCTTGTTTAAATAATTTGCAAAAGCTATTTAACACTAAACATACCATAACGGGTCAAATGACCCATTTTGAACTTTTCCATTGAAAATGCACGTATAATTTTATTGCATTTGCACATTTGACTTCATGACTTTTTCTAAGTAATTAATGTACAGTTATAAAAATATTTTTGTTTTGTTTTGTTTTGTTTATTCTGAGTAATCCTTGTTGTATACCGATATCTACCACAACAGGTCATTTGACCCGGAGAGAATTTTTTTGTTTTATGACATTATCTATTCATATTTGTAGTCAGTAAGTTGCACATTCTTCCAAAGACTGTTGCGTAAAGTAGTTCAACGAAAATAGCTCAGAATAATTTCAAGAAAATATCAAATTTTAGATTGAAAACAGCTTTTTAGTGTAAGAAAAAGTGGCAAAAATTGAAAGTCTTGGTAAGTACCTAGCTTATATTTTATTTTGATAGCTATAGTAATACAGATCATTTTTTACCCAGAAAAATGTCGAAGCAAACAAGACAGTACAAGTTCTTAGAAGATATAAATAATATTGGGGAAGAGTTTTCAGAAATTAGTGAAGATGAATTTTCTGAAAATGAAGATATATCGGTTGCAAATAAAAATGAGTTTGATTCTACAGATACTGACGACGAGTACGAGTTCGCGTCCCGGTGCTGGAGGGGATTTTAAATTCCCCGCCCTCACCCCCCGGCCCGGGAAAATCCTGTATAGCCTAAAAAGGCGAGGTAGGGAAGAACAAAAAAAAAAAAAAAAAAAGATACTGACGATGAAGAGAAAAATATTGTGAATGTATGTAGTGGCCGAAAAAGAATAAGATTACTCACAAGTTCGGAAGAAAGTGAAGTAGAAATAAATGAAGAAAATGTTGCGAATGATGGATCTGTTTGGCAACAAATGCAAGTAGGTGGCACACCTGGAAGAGCACCACTTTATACATTTTTGCTTTTGTAATAGAAATGCTCAACATACTATTTTGTTTAATCATAATAAATTTAATTTATATTTTTATTTCCTTCCTAACATCCATATTTCATACATTCAAGCATGAAACATAAAGTCAGGTCATTTGACCCGCTATGGTAGAAATAGGTATATATTAAGTCTTGGTATGATTAGTGTTAAGCAGTTAATAATGGAAGGATGTCTGATGCATTTCCATTATAATTGCTATTGACATTTTATTTGGATGTCTGTGAGATGTTGTGATGAAGGAATTTTTCAAGAAGCCAAGTTTATTCAATTGTAATTATATTTAAAGATAATAAATAGAATATTAAAACAAATACAATTGCTTTAAATTTGAATTCTTAAAGTGTTTTTACATTTAATTTAAAATTTAATGTAATTTAATATGTAAATAATTAATATAATCTTATTCTTGTTAGAAAATTAAATGTCATTATTTACAGCTGGCTACCACTGATTGCAACAGTATTTTAGATGTTACTATTGAAGATTCTCAAAAACCAAAATTTACAAGTGATGAGCTTAAGGAAATATTAGCTGAAAGGAATGAATTAACAGCTCGAATTTCTGAACTTGAAAATGAACTCCAAAAATATAAACTTATGAATCAGTAAGTTGCTAATTCTTAATTATGATACTATTTTCTCACTTGGTATAGGTATAGTAAAGGCTTAGCTAATTCAAAGGTTTGACTCTCATAACACTGACAAAAACTGCCTACCTACCTTGCCCCAATGAACCCTGTCAAAACTAAGTCAGTTAATATAATTTTTATTAAGTTAACTTAATTATTTTTTAAAAATTCTTTAGGTAATTTTTTGTTTTCCTAAAAAAAAATATTTGCTTTACATACGAGATCAAATTGGAATAAATATTACATTTGGCAGACGGCCATCATTATGTAGGCACAATTTGGACCAACCGACTTAGCAATGTGGAAGTAAATATTTTTTTAGGGACAAACAAAGTTGATATTCGCTTTTGGCACCTCAAAATACCCTTCAATATAAATTTTTATCTAACTATCACGGCAATACAACTCGGTGATGAGTATTGGCCTCCCCCACCAACATCCTCCTGTCATCTCTATTCTGGATTTTTAATCAGTTCCTCACCTCCGTTCTTGAAGAGTTCAGCAGGCAGGTCATCAGCTCTAGATGCCTTATTATTCTTTAACCGATTAATGGCATCCATTATTTCTTCATCATCAGGTGGTTCAAGGTCTGATCTGTGGTTCCTGACATATAGGAACATGTCCTCTCTTGTGTCAGATCCAGTCTCTGTTCCAATGGGGAGCTGAGCTGAAAAGCTCTTCAAAATGACTTTTCCATTGCAATAGGAGTGTGGTCATCATCCAGTTCCTGACTTCCAGGACATCCCTTGAATCTCTTGCCACAACGTCTGACCATCGTAGTTTTAGTCTCCCTCTTCTTGAGCTGTAGAGAGGTTGTCAGGATCATCTTAGGGATTTCTTCATTCTCCATCCTTGCCACATGGCCAGCCCATTTCAATCTTCCAAGCTTCATCCTCAATACGACATCTTGATCATTAAAAATCGTGTAAATTTTAGCATTTGTGTACCGCCTTTTCCAATTTCCATCGATTTGTACTCCTCCAGATATTCTTTGAATAATTTTTCTCTCAAAGATAGGAGGTGTTGCTCAATTCTTTTAGTAGTCGTCCATGTTTCTGATGCATACAGCAGGTCTGGGCGGTTTAGTGTTTTGTAGAGATATAGCTTGTTCTGCCTTGTTCTGGGATAGAAGGCGACAGGTGAATTCCTTGCGAAGGACAAAGAAACACTTGTTATCCATCAATATTCTTTTCTTGACCTCGAGATCGGGAGCATTGTCTGGTGTTACCAGTGACCCCAAATACTTGAAATATGCTACTTTCTCAAAATTAAAGGAGCAAATATTGATGGTTTCGTCTGGTCAAGGGACTTCTCCTGTGGCTATGTATTTAGTTTTGCCTTCATTCATTTCTAATCCAAGTGCTTTTGTGGCCTCCAGTAGAGCTAAAAATCCCTCTCTAACAGACTGCCGATGTCCACACCATCCGCATAGGCTAATAGCTGAACGATCCGATTGTGAATAATCCCATTAGTTTGCAGAACAGAATCCCTCACTGCCTTCTCACGTGCCAAGTTAAACAAAAGACATGCTAACACATCAGTTTGGCGAAATCCTATTGTTGAGAACTTTTCTGTCCTCTGACCACCAACCTGCACAGTACACTTTATATCTCTCATGGTCAGCTTTACCAGTCGTATTATCTTTTCTGGGATATTGAACCCTTCAAGTGCCTTGTACAGTTCTTTCCGGTTAATGCTATCGTAAGCTGCCTTAAAGTCAACGAAAAGATGGGTTTTGATCTGATGTTCGTTTCCTCTCTCTAGGATTGTTCTGAGGCTGAATATTTGGTCTGTCGTAGGTCTTCCTTGTCTTAATCCGCATTGGTAGGGACCAAGCTTCTGTTCTGCAAAGGGTAGAAGATGCTGGCACAGGATGTTAAATAAAATTTTATATCCAGAAGAGAGATATCCCTGTTATTTTTACATTAGGGTTTTTCAACTTTTTTGAAGATATAACTGACTTTTTCCAGTCTTCCGGCAAAACCTCTTCTTCCCAAACGGTCAAGACTAGATTCTGGATTTTTAATCAGTTCCTCACCTCCGTTCTTGAAGAGTTCAGCAGGCAGGTCATCAGCTCCAGATGCCTTATTATTCTTTAACCGATTAATGGCATCCATTATTTCTTCATCATCAGGTGGTTCAAGGTCTGATCTCTGGTTCCTGACATATAGGAACAAGTCCTCTCTTGTGTCAGATCCAGTCTCTGTTCCAATGGGGAGCTGAGCTGAAAAGCTCTTCAAAATGGCTTTTCCATTGCAATAGGAGCATATTTTGTTTCAAGAAAGCATATGTTAAAAGATGTATAAATATCTGCATAGTACCTGTCATATCTAAACAGTTATTAAAATTATTATAGTTGAATATATTGTAAAGTGTTTATTACAGGCAAAAATATGGCACTGAAGTAATAAAATATGTATCGTCATTAGAACTATTATATTTAAAAATGGTGTAAATTATTTACTACAGGGACAAATTTAATAATAAAGGAATCAAATATATATCGGTACATATTTAATATATGTTTTATTAGGTATCAAACAGATAGAGAGAGAGAGAGAGAGAAATACTTTATTAAAAGTAATGCTGCTCTACTACATAGGGTTGCTTCATACACAGCGTACTTATCAATCCATATGGACATTACTATTATATTGCATTTTTCTATTTTTTTATATATATATATATTGTATGACATATCTTTCCTTTCTTTTTTTTTTTTTCTTCCCTTTCATAACAATACTCTTATAAATTATCAACAATAAACCATATTAAACTATAGACATGGTATAACAAATATTTTCCCAAGATTAAAAAAAAAAAACAATTAAAAAATTTTCAAATGCCAAGAACTCAATACAACATCGCACACATATATACCACATTAATTCCTCCAATGTAGACAAAAAGATAAGATGATTATAGCCAAATTTAAAATTTAATAAATAATTAATACAAGACATCCTCAATCACTATATACATGATAGTGGATGATCCCCAGGGAGTCCAAAATAATATTCTCGGCCAATATCGCGAGCTCCCCAACATCAACACCTAGTTCCTCGAGGAAGCTCCTTGTTCTTTCCGGGATCGTTCCGCGAGACCCAAACCAGAGGCCTCTCACGGTGAACTCTCTTCCCTAAGGTCTCGCGGAATTTCTCTTTTAGGAAAGGGATGCATATGTTGTATGTTCCTCTTTTTCCCTTTCCACTTCACCTGCCTGAAGTCATTGCTCTCAAAGCGGACAGTTGATCCAAGATCAGTGCTGTCCCTCATGTTCTGGGAATATCTGCATACCTCGTAGAGCCTTCACTGCCTATTCAATAGACCTCGTCAAAGCAGGTGAATTCCTTTTCTCTAAGGAGCCTCATCACCTCGAACTTTACCCTATGGTGCCGCCGTGTTATGAAGAGGGAATATTTGGAGCATTTTCCCAACACATGGGCTGGTGTTTCCGGCTCTCTGCCGCATTTATGACAGAGGGACCCAACTTACTTTGACTGTCCACTGGCTCCTGGGACTCCACGTAAAGTTGCGTAATTGATGTTTAGTTTTAAGGCGTTGTACTGTTCTGACCCCGAAAGCACTTTATTCTGGCATATGTATTTATTGGCTTTCGGTGTCTCTTTAAAGTGTGTAACTCCAACGCCTTGCCACCTGCAGCTGGCCCATTCTTCTAAAGAGTTTTCTCTTAGTGACTGTTGTAGAGCTCTCACACTTCGGTGGCCAGTATGCATCCCGCTCGGGTGTCTACTCTTCAATGTATCAAGTCCAGGTATCAGATAAAAATTTCGAATACAAATATCAGATAAAAATATCTGATACGAGTATCAGTAGTATACGAGTATCAGAGTATCCAGTACTACAGAGTAGTAATAGATAATTCTAAAGAAATTATGCACAATTAAAAATATAACTGAACATTCCTCTTATATCAATCAGGCATGTCTATTGATAACCATTTGGATTGTTGATTGGATAACCATTTTGTATCCATCTGAGCATCTGTATCAGATACTTTTGGGTTGTATCTACTGGTTGTATCAGATACTTTTTAGTATCAGATACAAAGTATCAGATACAAAGTATCTGATACATATAATCTGTCCCCTCCCTAGTTACAAGGACTATAAGAAACACTTTCTGGACTAGTTCCTCCCATCAGTTCCAGTACTAGTTTGTATAAAATTGTAGAAATTATTTATTGAACGATGTATATATCCACTATTAAATAACCAATTTAAAATTAAAATTTTAGACAGCTTATTAGGAAGTTGTCCAAAAGTTTTAGCTGAGCATTTTTTTTTTCCCCCAGCATAATTACACCGCGGCCTCAGTTGGCCTATTGTGCGCTGGCCATATCCCCTTCAAAACCATTCAAGGCCAATGGCCTTTGCAAACCTAATTAGACCCATTGGGTCTATTGTTTCGCAATGCTTCGGATCTGGGATTCGGTCAATTCCAAAATGTAGGAACCGAGTCCTAGCCAGGATATCACAACCACAGATTATGTGGAAAGCGGTTTCATCTTCCAGCCCGCAGAATCTGCAGGTTGGTGTTTCTATTGTTCCCAGATTATGGAGATGTTTATTCAGTCGACAGTGTCCTGTATAGAGTCCCGTAACTGTTCTAAGATTCTTCCTGTCCATATTGAGGAGTGATTCACTTCTCTTCGGACAGGGCCCATCAAGAAACAGCTTTGAATGTGTCTGTTTCTTGATGTTTTTCCAATGTGCCCTAAACTTATGGCCAACGGTTGCTTTAATGCTCCTTCTGGCATAGCTAGGACTTATGCCACAAATCGGCTCTGGTGCCGTGGAGATGCTTACGGAGCCTTTCCTCGCAAGATGGTCTGCCCTCTCATTGCCCAAAATTCCCGAGTGTGCCGGGACCCATTCAACCCTTACCCTATTGGTTGTAGAGAGAATGTTTAGGTTAGCTTTACATTCGTCCACCGATTTGGATCGAGTTGCATA